ATTAAGATATAATAGATGTAAACAATTTCAATATTTTACTTCTTCTCCATCACTAAATTTTAGGTTATTTCATCACTAAGAAACCAAGTTAAAAGACTATTAGTTAATGACATATATTTCATATACGTTCGTAACAATTAAAACTATATAATGAGGTTAGATAGTAAATTTATTCACCACATTCACATTGTATTATGGTATAATAGATTTAAACAATTTCAATATTCTTCTTCTTATCCATCACCAAATTTAAGGTTACTTCATCACTAAGAAACTAAATTAAAAGACTATAAATTAATGACATATATTTCATATACGTTCGTAATTATTAAAACTATATAATGAATCTAGATAGTATATTTATTCACCATATTCACATTGTATTATGGTATAATAGATGTAAATAATTTCAATATAATTCTTCTTATCCATCACCAAATTTTAGGTTACTTCATCACTAAGAAACTAAGTTAAAAGACTATTAATTAATGACATATATTTCATATATGTTCGTAATAATTAAAACTATATAATTAGGCTAGATAGTATATTTATTCACCGTATTCACATTGTATTATAGTATAATAGATGTAAAAAATTTCAATATTATTCTTCTTATCCATCACTAAATTTTAGGTTATTTTATCACTAAGAAACCAAGTTAAAAGACTATTAGTTAATGACATATATTTCATATACGTTCGTAACAATTAAAACTATATAATGAGGTTAGATAGTAAATTTATTCACCATATTCACATTGTATTATGGTATAATAAATTTAAACAATTTCAATATTATTCTTCTTATCCATCACCCAATTTTAGGTTACTTCATCACTAAGAAACTAAATTAAAAGACTATTAATTAATGACATATATTTCATATACGTTCGTAATTATTAAAACTATATAATGAATCTAGATAGTATATTTATTCACCATATTCACATTGTATTATGGTATAATAGATGTAAATAATTTCAATATAATTCTTCTTATCCATCACCAAATTTTAGGTTACTTCATCACTAAGAAACTAAGTTAAAAGACTATTAATTAATGACATATATTTCATATATGTTCGTAATAATTAAAACAATATAATTAGGCTAGATAGTATATTTATTCACCGTATTCACATTGTATTATGGTATAATATATGTAAACAATTTCAATGTTATTCTTCTTATCCATCACTAAATTTTAGGTTACTTCATCACTAAGAAACCAAGTTAAAAGACTATTAGTTAATGACATATATTTCATATACGTTCGTAACAATTAAAACTATATAATGAGGTTAGATAGTAAATTTATTCACCATATTCATATTGTATTATGGTATAATAGATGTAAATAATTTCAATATTATTCTTCTTATCCATCACCAAATTTTAGGTTACTTGATTACTAAGAAACAAATTAAAAAGACTATTAGTTAATGACATATATTTCATATACGTTCGTAACAATTAAAACGATATAATGAGGTTAGATAGTAAATTTATTCATCATATTCATATTGTATTATGGTATAATAGATGTAAATAATTTCAATATTATTCTTCTTATCCATCACCAAATTTTAGGTTACTTCATCACTAAAACAAATTAAAAAGACTATTAGTTAATGACATATATTTCATATACGTTCGTAACAATTAAAACGATATAATGAGGTTAGATAGTAAATTTATTCACCATATTCATATTGTATTATGGTATAATAGATGTAAATAATTTCAATATTATTCTTCTTATCCATCACCAAATTTTAGGTTACTTCATCACTAAGAAACTAAGTTAAAAGACTATTAGCTAATGACATATATTTTATATACGTTCGTAACAATTAAAACTATATAATGAGGTTCGATTGTAAATTTATTCACCATATTCATATTGTATTATGGTATAATAGTTTAAACAATTTCAATATTATTCTTCTTATCCATCGCCAAATTTTAGGTTACTTCATCACCAAGAAACTAAGTTAAAAGACTATTAATTATTGACATATATTTCATATATGTTTTGTAATTATTAAAACTATATAATGAATCTAGATAGGATATTTATTCACCATATTCACATTGTATTATGATATAATAGATGTAAACAATTTCAATATTTTACTTCTTCTCCATCACTAAATTTTAGGTTATTTCATCACTAAGAAACTAAGTTAAAAGGCTATTATTTAATGACAAATATTTCATATATGTTCATAGAAATTAAAATTATACAATGATTCTAGATAGTATATTTATTTACCATATTCACATTGTATTATGGTATAACAGATATAAACAATTTCAATATTATTCTTCTTATCCATCACCAAATTTTAAGTTACTTCATCACTAAGAAACTAAGTTAAAAGACTATTAGCTAATGACATATATTTTATATACGTTCGTAACAATTAAAACTATATAATGATGTTAGATAGTAAATTTATTCACCATATTCATATTGTATTATGGTATAATAGATTTAAACAATTTCAATATTATTCTTCTTATCCATCACCAAATTTTAGGTTACTTCATCACTAAGAAACTAAGTTAAAAGACTATTAATTAATGACATATATTTCATATACGTTCGTAATTATTAAAACTATATAATTAGGATAGATAGTATATTTATTCACCATATTCACATTGTATTATGGTATACCAGATATAAACAATTTCAATATTATTCTTGTTATCCATCACCAAATTTTAAGTTACTTCATCACTAAGAAACTAAGTTAAAAGACTATTAATTAATGACATATATTTCATATATGTTCGTAATAATTAAAACTATATAATTAGGCTAGATAGTATATTTATTTACCATATTCACATTGTATTATGGTATAAGAGATATAAACAATTTCAATAGTATTCTTCTTATCCATCACCAAGTTTTAAGTTACTTCATCACTAAGAAACTAAGTTAAAAGACTATTAATTAATGACATATATTTCATATATGTTCGTAATAATTAAAACTATATAATTAGGCTAGATAGTATATTTATTCACCGTATTCACATTGTATTATGGTATAATAGATGTAAACAATTTCAATATTATTCTTCTTATCCATCATCAAATTTTAAGTTACTTCATCACTAAGAAACAAATTAAAAAGGCTATTAGTTAATGACATATATTTCATATACGTTCGTAACAATTAAAACGATATAATGAATCTAGATAGTAAATTTATTCACCATATTCATATTGTATTATGGTATAATAGATGTAAATAATTTCAATATTCTTCTTCTTATCCGTCACCAAATTTTAGGTTACTTCATCACTAAGAAACTAAGTTAAAAGACTATTAGCTAATGACATATATTTTATATACGTTCGTAACAATTAAAACTATATAATGAGGTTAGATAGTAAATTTATTCACCATATTCATATTGTATTATGGTATAATAGATTTAAACAATTTCAATATTATTCTTCTTATCCATCACCAAATTTTAGGTTACTTCATCACTAAAAAACTAAGTTAAAAGACTATTAATTAATGACATATATTTCATATACGTTCGTAATTCACTACTAAAAAAAGACATTTGAGAAAAGGTTTTTACATCGGGTATCAAAATATATGATGTAAAAAATACAATTAACAAACTTTTTACATCAGGTATTTATTTGCAATGATATAAAAAATATGGAAAAAAATATATTTCGCTACCTATTACATCGGGCAAACGCATCCACCGATGTAAAAAGTTTTCAGAAAAAAATACGGTGGCATTTTTGTAAATAAGAAACAAAGTAGTAGAAATATTAATAAAAAACATGCAACATATTACATCGGTTGACTAAAAACCGATGTAATATCTTCACAACAGATATTAATATAAAAAATAAATTAAAGAATAAATTATTTTTTTTGCAACTTATTACATCGGGTATTACAAATGCACCGATGTAATAGGTGCATTGTAAAAAAAAAAGTCAGAAAAAAAGCTTGCCAACCCTTACCTCGGGTATTACAATGCACCGATGTAAAAAAAAAATTCAAAAAGGAGGCAGCGTAACCCAACATAACAATGAGCGAAAAGAGAAGAATAAGCCTTGTAGCAGGCTCATACGAACGCTTCATCTGGGGTTTCACTCTCAACCCCAACAAACAAACCCTAAACCCTCTCTTCTCCTACCCTTCCCATCTCTCCCTAATCAAATCCGTCGCCATCTCCGGTTCCGTCGTCGCCTCCGGCGGCTCCGACGACACTATCCAACTCTACAATCTCTCCGCCGCTTCCTCCCTCGGTTCCCTCACCCACCACTCCTCCACCGTCACCGCTCTCTCGTTCTACTCGCCTCCTCATCTTCCTTTCCCTCGCGATCTCGTTTCTGCAGATGCCGACGGTTCCCTCGCGATCTTCGATGCTGACGGTTTCGTTCATCTCAAGACACTTCCTGTTCATAAAAAGGCTATCAATGATCTGGCTCTTCATCCGTCCGGGAAGCTTGCCCTGACTGTTTCGCGGGATAATTGTTTTGCGATGGTGAACCTTGTTCGTGGTCGGAGGAGCTTTTGTTGTCGGTTGGATAAAGAGGCGTCAATTGTTCGATTTGATGCTTCCGGTGATTCGTTTTTCATGGCTGTTGATAAGGTTGCTTCTGTTCATCAAGCGGAGGATGCTAGGTTGTTGCTTGAATTGCAATTCCAGAATCGTGTTTTATGCGCTGCACCTGCTGGGGTTTGTGTTTTCCACTGACATACTGTAATTAATGTCTCTGTTCTCATGCTTTTTATGTTATTCAAAGCAAAATTATGTTAAGTTATATTGTCTTTATTTTAATTCATTTGTGAGGTTTCTTTGCGTGATTTATAATCTAGGTGTTAGTACAATAATAAAAGTCATAGTGAAAAGAAGCAAGTTTCAGGAATGGAAAATGAAAATAATATGGTTTTGCTGCTGAATGTTGTGTGATGCTGTTGTGAGGCTTGTGTATAAGTTGGATATGAATGTTAGGAGTAACTAAGGTTTTAAGTCACAGCCGAATCACCATAATTGATAATTCGTGGGAACCTGGTCAAATGTAAACCATGAGACTCAATTTCTTTCAGATGTGAAATATTGTGGTGTGAAACTATTTAATAAAACCCTATTTTATATAATAGGAAACAAAAAGAAAATTTATCATGTTTTATTCTTGCACAGGTTATACTCTACTGCATACATGTGCTGTAATTATTATGGAGAGAATTCATCAAAGTTATAGAGAGAATTCTCTTTGCTGTATTCACTTGTGTTCTAGCACTTGGTATGTTGCATTTTGCTTCTCTTCTTTATATCATGTATATGTTATTGTAAAAAGTGAGTGAAAATGTTGTGTTATGAACTCTAGGAGGTTCGATAATAGGAACAATAGGAGGAGCTATAAAAGGCCAAACCACAGAAGCTGGTTTTCTTGATGGAGCTTGCAAAGGAGCAATTGGAGGAGCCATTGCAACCATAGAGTTTATGAGTTAAGCTTCTGATGGTGAGTCATTTTCCAAGGTAAGATTTCTCATAGTACCAATATTTTCGTGTCCAACACTAACACTAACACTAACAAGACAATGACATATATCCGGATAGTGTTCAGAGCGTCGGTGTTAGTATCGTGTCTGGTATTCTTAATCTAACAGAGATAGTGTTCTTGTCACCTAAAAAATTTAGGTATGGAATTGCAGGTTGCTTTGTTGACAATTTTATTAAATGGAAAAGTGTTTATGGAATGGATATGTCCAACTGTGGCACAAGCTTATGTAAGTTTTAGTACTAAATGTTGAATACAATATTAGTCATGGGTTACATTTGATAAAAAAAAAGTTAAATGTTTTCAGATAAATTCAGTAGAAGCAGCTTATGGAGGAGTGGTTTCAGATATTTATGACAGCATGGGAGTTAAAGGGATGTCACAAACTTGTATTATGAAACTCCCATTTCATAAATTTAACTCTTCCGACAAAATTATGAAATTATACAATGAATCATGCTGCTTAATTTGCTTCCAGGTCAGAAACAAAATATTTTAACTTCTCAAAAAAGTTCATTTTAATCATTTATATATCATTTTGAGATTTTAGAAGTTTTCATATTTTACATAAACTTATGTTTTACATATTGATTTTGCAGGATTTTGAGAACGGAGAATTGGTGAGAATACTTCCAAAATGTTGTCACATTTATCATTTAGAATGCATTGACAAATGGCTAGTACAACAAGGATCGTGTCCTATTTGTAGAACTTATATTCTTCAATAGTTTTGTTTTTATTGTAAAATCTCTTTTTTTGTTCCAAGAGAGAAGCTATAATACCAAGCTTTAACTTTATTGTATGGTGGCGTTGAACCATTTGAGATGCAAACATGCGCTAAGCAATTATCCAACATTAATTTTGTCTATAAACTTCGTGTGTGGTAAATAGGTGTAATTTTTTTTTGGATTAAATATATTTTATTTTTGTAATATTATTGAGTTTTGATTTATAAACTTTGTAATATTTTATTTTATTTTATTTTTAAAAATGTGCATAATAACTGTTTCTTACATCGGTTCATATATTATAACCGATGTAAAAAGGGACTTTTTACATCGGGTATTACTTTCAACCGATGTAAAAAACTGGATCAATTTTTTTAAAAAATGTGCATAATAACTGTTTCTTACATCGGTTCATATATTATAACCGATGTAAAAAATGGACTTTTTACATCGGGTATTACTTCCAACCGATGTAAAAAATTGGATCAATTTTTTAAAAAATGTGCATAATAACAGGTTATTACATCGGTTAGGATATTATAACCGCTGTAAAAAAGGGACTTTTTATATCGGTCCCAGAACCGATGTAAAAAGTCTCTGATTTACTATATCGCCTGACTTTACATCGGACCCAAAACCGATGTAAAAAGTCAATTTCACCCGATGTAAAAAGTCATTTCTGCACTAGTGATTATTAAAACTATATAATTAGGATAGATAGTATATTTATTCACCATATTCACATTGTATTATGGTATAACAGATATAAACAATTTCAATATTATTCTTGTTATCCATCACCAAATTTTAAGTTACTTCATCACTAAGAAACTAAGTTAAAAGACTATTAATTAATGACATATATTTCGTATATGTTCGTAATAATTAAAACTATATAATTAGGAAAGATAGTATATTTATTCACCGTATTAACAATGTATTATGGTATAACAGATATAAACAACTTCAATATTATTCTTCTTATCCATCAATAAATTTTAGGTTACTTCATCACTAAGAAACCAAGTTAAAAGACTATTAGTTAATGACATATATTTTATATATGTTCGTAATAATTAAAACTATATAATTAGGCTAGATGGTAAATTTATTCACCGTATTCACATTGTATTATGGTATAATAGATGTAAACAATTTCAATATTATTCTTCTTATCCATCACTAAATTTTAGGTTACTTCATCACTAAGAAACCAAGTTAAAAGACTATTAGTTAATGACATATATTTCATATATGTTCGTAACAATTAAAACGATATAATGAGGTTAGATAGTAAATTTATTCACCATATTCATATTGTATTATGGTATAATAGATGTTAATAATTTCAATATTATTCTTCTTATCCATCACCAAATTTTAGGTTACTTCATAACTAAGAAACTAAATTAAAAGACTATTAATTAATGACATATATTTCATATACGTTCGTAATTATTAAAACTATATAATTAGGCTAGATAATATATTTATTCACCGTATTAACATTGTATTATGGTATAATAGATTTAAACAATTTCAATATTATTCTTCTTATCCATCACTAAATTTTAGGTTACTTCATCACTAAGAAACCAAGTTAAAAGACTATTAATTAATGACAGATATTTCATATACGTTCGTAACAATAAAAACGATATAATGAGGTTAGATAGTAAATTTATTCACCATATTCATATTGTATTATGGTATAATAGATGTAAATAATTTCAATATTCTTCTTCTTATCCATCACCAAATTTTAGGTTACTTCATCACTAAGAAACTAAGTTAAAAGACTATTAGTTAATGACATATATTTTATATACGTTCGTAACAATGAAAACTATATAATGAGGTTAGATAGTAAATCTATTCACCATATTCATATTGTATTATGGTATAATAGATTTAAACAATTTCAATATTATTCTTCTTATCCATCACCAAATTTTAGGTTACTTCATCACCAAGAAACTAAGTTAAAAGACTATTAATTAATGACATATATTTCATATACGTTCGTAATTATTAAAACTATATAATGAATCTAGATAGTATATTTATTCACCATATTCACATTGTATTATGATATAATAGATGTAAACAATTTCAATATTTTACTTCTTCTCCATCACTAAATTTTAGGTTATTTCATCACTAAGAAACTAAGTTAAAAGGCTATTATTTAATGACAAATATTTCATATATGTTCGTAGACATTAAAATTATACAATGAGTCTTGATAGTATATTTATTTACCATATTTACATTGTATTATGGTATAACAGATATAAACAATTTCAAAATTCTTCTTCTTATCCATCACCAAATTTTAAGTTACTTCATCACTAAGAAACTAAGTTAAAAGACTATTAATTAATGACATATATTTCATATATGTTCGTAATAATTAAAACTATATAATTAGGCTAGATAGTATATTTATTCACCGTATTCACATTGTATTATGTTATAATAGATCAAAACAATTTCAATATTATTCTTCTTATCCATCACTTAATTTTAGGTTACTTTATCACTAAGAAACCAAGTTAAAAGACTATTAGTTAATGACATATATTTCATATACGTTCGTAACAATTAAAACTATATAATGAGGTTAGATAGTAAATTTATTCACCATATTCATATTGTATTATGGTATAATAGATGTAAACAATTTCAATATTATTCTTCTTATCCATCACCAAATTTTAGGTTACTTCATCACCAAGAAACAAATTAAAAAGGCTATTAGTTAATGACATATATTTCATATACGTTCGTAACAATTACAACGATATAATGAATCCAGATAGTAAATTTATTCACCATATTCATATTGTATTATGGTATAATATATGTAAATAATTTCAATATTCTTCTTCTTATCCATCACCAAATTTAGGTTACTTCATCACTAAGAAACTAAGTTAAAAGACTATTAGCTAATGACATATATTTTATATACGTTCGTAACAATTAAAACTATATAATGAGGTAAGATTGTAAATTTATTCACCATATTCATATTGTATTATGGTATAATAGATTTAAACAATTTCAATATTATTCTTCTTATCCATCACCAAATTTTAGGTTACTTCATCACCAAGAAACTAAGTTAAAAGACTATTAATTAATGACATATATTTCATATATGTTTTGTAATTATTAAAACTATATAATGAATCTAGATAGTATATTTATTCACCATATTCACATTGTATTATGATATAATAGATGTAAACAATTTCAATATTTTACTTTTTCTCCATCACTAAATTTTAGGTTACTTCATCACTAAGAAACTAAGTTAAAAGGCTATTATTTAAAGACAAATATTTCATATATGTTCATAGAAATTAAAATTATACAATGAGTCTTGATAGTATATTTATTTACCATATTCACATTGTATTATGGTATAACAGATATAAACAATTTCAATATTATTCTTCTTATCCATCACCAAGTTTTAAGTTACTTCATCACTAAGAAACTAAGTTAAAAGACTATTAATTAATGACATATATTTCATATATGTTCGTAATAATTAAAACTATATAATTAGGCTAGATAATATATTTATTCACCGTATTAACAGTGTATTATGGTATAATAGATTTAAAAAATTTCAATATTATTCTTCTTATCCATCACTAAATTTTAGGTTACTTCATCACTAAGAAACCAAGTTAAAAGACTATTAATTAATGACATATATTTCATATATGTTTTGTCATTATTAAAACTATATAATGAATCTATATAGTATATTTATTCACCATATTCACATTGTATTATGGTATAATAGATGTAAACAATTTCAATATTTTACTTCTTCTCCGTCACCAAATTTTAGGTTACTTCATCACTAAGAAACTAAGTTAAAAGACTATTATTTAATGACAAATATTTCATATATGTTCGTAGAAACTAAAATTATACAATGAGTCTTCATAGTATATTTATTTACCATATTCACATTGTATTATGGTATAACAGATATAAACAATTTCAATATTATTCTTCTTATCCATCACCAAGTTTTAAGTTACTTCATCACTAAGAAACTAAGTTAAAAGACTATTAATTAATGACATATATTTCATATATTTTTGTAATAATTAAAACTATATAATTAGGCTAGATAATATATTTATTCACCGTATTAACATTGTATTATGGTATAAAAGATTTAAACAATTTCAATATTATTCTTCTTATCCATCACCAAATTTTAGGTTACTTCATCACTAAGAAACTAAGTTAAAAGACTATTAGTTAATGACATATATTTCATGTATGTTCGTAACAATTAAAACTATATAATGAGGTTAGATAGTAAATTTATTCATCATATTCACATTGTATTATGGTATAATAGATGTAAACAATTTCAATATTTTACTTCTTCTCCATCACCAAATTTTAGGTTACTTCATCACTAAGAAACCAAGTTAAAAGACTATTAGTTAATGACATATATTTCATATACATTCGTTACAATTAAAACTATATAATGAGGTTAGATAGTAAATTTATTCACCATATTCACATTGTATTGTGTTATAATATATGTAAACAATGTCAATATTATTCTTATTATCCATCACCATATTTTAGGTTATTTCATCAATAAGAAACTAAGTTAAAAGACTATTCATTTATGACATATATTTCATATACGTTCATAATAATCAAAACTATATAATGAGGTTAGATAGTAAATTTATTCACCATATTCACATTGTATTATGTTATAATAGATGTAAACAATTTTAATATTATTCTTCTTATCCATCACCAAATTTTAGGTTACTTCATCACTAAGAAACTAAGTTAAAAGACTATTAGTAAATAACATATATTTTATATACGTTCGTAACAATTAAAATTATATAATTAGGTTAGATAGTAAATTTATTCACCATATTCATATTGTATTATGGTATTATAGATTTAAACAATTTCAATATTGTTCTTCTTATCGA